TTTTCATATTTTTGTTGTCATTTTGTTGGCTGCTGATGGATACTTCTGCTGGGCGAAGAGTTTACTCAAGAGAAGAGCTCCTTTTATTGAGGAAAAGCAAATCTGGACAACAACATACAATTCCAGAGGACATCAGGAGGTGTTATCGTGGTTGCCGTGCTGGTGCAAAAGTGAAGGCAAAGCTGAATGCTAGCAGGTGGCGATATAAACCCTTTCTTCCATCAATCATCATGGGGAAATGTCAGCTCTCTGCCCAACATGAGCGATAAGCTGGAGATATTGGTGAAGACTGAGAGAGCATACCGTGAGTGCAGTTTCCTGTCTTTTACTGAAACCTGGTGTAATCAAAACAACTCAGACTCCAGTGTGGATCTAACTGGCTTCACTCTCATAAGGTGAGACAGAGATACTCAAGCTAGTGGCAAGAAGTAAGGAGGAGGTCTGGCTTTATATGTCAACCAGAGATGGTGTAACCCTTCACACATAACTGTCAAGGAGAAGTTGTGTTGTCCAGATATTGAATTGTTGGCAGTTGCTCTTCCATATTATGTTCCAAGAGAAATTAGTCATATCATAACAGTAGTTGTTTACATCTCACCCAAATCAACTGAAGAAATTCTGTGTGATGCTTTGCAAAATAGTGTTGCCAGGCTACAGACTCAACACCCTGAGGCACTAATAATAATATCGGGAGACTTCAACCATGTCACCCTCTCCTCTCACCTGACTGGATTCACACAGTTTGCGAACTGTCCTACCAGAGAGAACAAGACCCTGGATCTGCTGTATGCCAATGTCAAAGAGGCCTACAGAGCCACTGTCTTACCACCACTGGGCAAGTTGGATCATAACATAACTTTCTGCAAACCTGTTACAGACCTTGTGTACTGAGGCAGCCTGTGACTAAAGTCCAAATCAGAAAATGGACACCTGAAGCCAGTGAAGCTCTACGGGACTGTTTTAAATCAACAGACTAGAATGTGCTGTTGGAAACAGATGTGGATAGTATGAACATTGATAAACAGGTTGACTGCTTTACTGATTATGTCAACTTCTGTAGGGACACAGTTATACCCACAAAGACTGTTTGCCGTTTCCCCAACAACAAACCCTGAATCACAAGAGATATAAAAGCAATCCTTAAACAGAAAAAGAAAGCTTTCAAAGATGGTGACAAAGAACAATTCAAACAAGTGCAACAAGAGTTGAGGAGGAGACTAAAGATAGCAAAGCTGGAGTACAAAAAGAAGATAGAGAAGAATCTACAACACAGCAACATCTGTGTAGTGTATAGAGGAATTAGTACCAACTCTGGACACAGCAACAAAAAGAAAAGACAGCCAGTGGTGGGTGATGTGAAAAGAGCTGATGAACTCAACCTGTTCTTCGACCGATTTGACACTGCTGTCACACCCACTCCCACTGCTACTCCACCTTCCTCTCCACAACAAATCTCCACTACAACTTCTCCCCTTCCTCCTCAATCTTGTTCAAATGTCTCAACCACTTCAACTGCCTCCCTCCTAGAACACCAGTCCTTGTCTGTCACCAAAACAGGGGTGAGGATGGAGCTTGGAAGACTTTGCCCTAGGAAGGCAGCTGGTCCAGATGGTGTGTGTCCAGCGGCTGATTCTACACCTTCTGAGGTCTGAGGTCAAAGACAGACTGGATTCCCAGCAGTTTGCATACAAAGAACATATTGGAGTGGATGATGCTGTCCTCTACATGCTTCACCGTGCCCTGTCCCATCTGGAGGAACCTGTGATTTATGTGAGGATCATGTGCTTCGACTTTTCAAGTGCATTCAACACCATCCAATCTACCATACTCAAAGACAAGCTCACAGAGATGGGAGTGGATCCTTCCTATGTTTCCTGGATCACAGATTACCTGACAGGAAGGCCACAGTTTGTCAGGCTGGGAAACTGTGTTTCTGGGACATTAATGAGCAGTACAGGGGCTCCACAAGGGACAGTGCTGGCGCCATTCCTGTTCACATTGTACATGTCAGACTTCAAATACAGCACTGCCACATCCAGCCACATCCAGAAATACTCAGATGACACCACTATTGTGGCATGTATCAGAAATGGACAAGAAGCTGAATACAGAGATCTAATAAGAGCCTTCAGTGACTGGAGTCACAAAAACTGCCTCCTACTCAACACCTCAAAGACAAAGGAGATGGTCATAGACTTCCGCAGATGCAAACCCCCTCTTCAGCCAGTGAACACCTGTGGAGTGGACATCGAAGTGGTGACATCATATAAATACGTAGGTGTACATCTGGATAATAAGTTGGACTGGTCTAAGAATATAGACTACATCTACAGAAAGGGGGCAGAGCCGCCTCTTTTTCCTGAGAAGACTCTGATCAATAGACATCTGTAGTAAGATGCTGCAGATGTTTTATCCGTCTGTGGTGGCAAGTGTTCTGTTCTATGCTGCAGTCTGCTAGGGAGGAAGCATCAAACACAAAGATGCAAGACGTCTTAACAAACTGGTGAAAAAGGCTGGCTCTGTGGTTGGACTCAAGCTGGACTCATAGAGGATGTGGTGGAGAGATCTATACTGAGGAAGGTGGAGTCTATTCTAAAGAACATGGATCACCCACTTCACAACACCTTGATGGACCAAAGGACCAATGGTGGTGGACGGCTCCTCTCCCTTCGCTGCAGGACAGAAAGATTCAGAAGATCTATTGTACCAACAGCCATTAGACTTTATAACTCTTGTGTAAATAGTAGATAACTGTTAGAGACATATTTTGTGAGACAACAGACAATTGAATTTCCCTTCGGGGATTAACAAAGTTATTCTTATTCTTCTTCTTCTTACTGTTGGATAGATCATGTGTCCATGTCTATTTATGGTTAAAAAAAACATTAACTGCTGTGATCACTCAGCTCAAAGCTAATAAACCTTAAAGGTGGGGTAGGCAGGATCTGAGGAAGTGCCAGTCTTTGGGAGATACCTTGAATGTAAACACTACCCCTCCCAACCCATTTTCCCCTCAGCTTCTCCTCTCCGTCTCTGCTCCTGCAAGCCCCGCCCACAAACAGACGCTCCTGCTTGCTCGTATCGTTTCAATTAAATTCAGATATAATGCAAATAAATATTTTAGATAATTACAAATGGGACCCAGTCAACGTGAAAGTAAAAAGCATTGTTGCTGCTGTTGATGCCAGTCAACTACCAGCAAACACAATGTTTGCAGGACTTCTAAAACAAGGATAAAGTGACATATTCTAGGACCCGAGGTAAACAGTTTAGTGGCGCTACAACATGCAGCAGGTCCCGTTTGACAATAAACACTTCTGTTACAGACACTTGGCTTACTTTATTTAAGCGGTTTAACAGTTTGGCTTGTACACATGCTAGACAAGCGAGGCAAAGACTGTTTAGAATAGAATAGAATATTCCTTTATTGATCCCCCATGGGGGAAATTTTTTTGTCTTCACTGCTGATGTGGTGTACATATAGAAAATCCTGGTGAAGGGTCCATTGAACCTAAAATTAAACCATTTGCAGTTATTCTCTTCATTTTGCGCCTGAAGAGAGTCACAGGAAAAACAAGCAGCTCAGAGAATTTATGGCAGGGATCTGTTTCAGGGATGGGTGCCCAAAATGTACCCTTAAAGTTTGAGTTCTCATGATCTCTGGGTCATTCTTAAGGCTGAGGTGTCAACTATGAGCTATCCCAGCCAAGGTGAGAAGGTGAATGTTTATTCGGTCTGGGGGTCCTGTTGTTGATCAGCAACTTTGTCTCTTTGAAGTGTAAAAGATTCACTATCGGCCTTTTGGGAAAGCGCCTCTCCGTTCTGTCCAGGGGGTTGTAAAAGGCCAAAGCTTTGGTGTGGAAAGTTACTCCCAACTCCTCTCCTGATCAGGGGAGGCTGCATTCCTTTGAGGGTAAATTAAAGGTAAAAAAGCAGAAACAAGTTGTCTCCTGTTACATTGGCACACCTACATGTCAGATTGCTAAAGCTAGTATACTGTTTATGTCTGTTAGGCATCATTTTAATTTCTTGCTCTCTGTCTTCTTTATTTGCAGATACCACACATGTACAATGCAAATGAGTTGTGTGAAATGGCTGTTATGTTGCTGAAGAAATACAAAGAGCTAACTAGAGCTGTGTGTCCTTGTGTCACTCTCTAATTGAGCACTAAAGTGGATGGAGTATCCCCGCATTATCTAACAATATCATACGAGTCATTTTCCAAAATTGGCCCTTCAAGCTGAATTACTTGACCCACTTCAGTATCATGGATACACAGAGAACAGCAGCTGCTGAAAGCAGAGCTCTGAGAGATGAAAGACTACAACAGCTCCCCGCACACCTGCAATGCTACCAAGTTAGCTTACTGCTGACCCTTATGCCTTATACTGCCTCCCTCCACCATGACATCGAAAGTGCCAGTGCACAGCAGCTGCAGTCTCCTTAACAGCAGACAGTTATCTTCTAAAGAGTTCCAGTAATACACTGTGCCCATGCTCAGTCCCTGTCCCTCATTGGTTGGTGCAGTCAATAAGTTGAGTCAACAGGACATAGCATCGAATGCCAATTGCCAGCCTGGTCTGCTGACTGTGCCTGTGGATCCCTGGTCGCCAACCCTGCCTCAACAGAGCTGCCACAGTCATGGTTTAACAGAACATAACTTGAGTATAAATGAGAGCGGCCCCCCTACACCATAAAGCCCAGCTCATACCAATCTGAGTGCCCAGTTAAAACACACACCTGGCCTGAATTCCCCAATGGGCCCCAGCATCCTTCTGCAGCAGTTAACATTCTCACCTGCAGAAGCACCTGCTCAACCCTGAGATGATCCGTCTCTGACATCGCTGTAACAAGCAACAACTGCAGCATTACAGTCATGGACAACACTGGTTTATACACCAGGAAGGGGACAGGAGAACTATGTGCTGACAGAGTCTCTACCAGCAACATCAGCAACGCAATCTGGAGCTTCAAGGCTGCCACCTCTGACAGCGACAAGCATGGGCCTGCCACTAACTAGTCTTCAGGCAACACAGGTGGTAAACCATGTGGGCCAGCAAGTATCAGCAGCACCTGTATACCAGCTTGTCTATTCACCAAACCAGCCTCTGCCATCATACGCCCAGCAATACACTTGCAGTCGTGCAGACTCAGTACCAGCCTGCACCAACAATACCTGCACATCAAGCATACCTGCCTCCCCCAGCTGCGCTGCCACCAACACATCACCCATATACAGCCCTGTATCTCACCCACCAACCACCAACTGTCACTTTGCATCAGCGCCCACCTGTTGTCTCTACACAGCCATCATATCATCCACCAGTGTACCAACTGATTCATCAACCACTGTTACTGCACCAGCCTCAGCCACTACCACTGACTCAACCAGTCTACCAGATGGTGCCTTCATCATACAGTACAGCAACACATCAGCCTGCATACCCTCTGCAGATGCAGTATACGGCTCAGCCTCAGTACACACCACCGCAGCTGCCACTGAATGCACAGCCTCCTAAACAGCCAGTTCCGGTTCCAGGGCTCCCTAAACTAGTCCACGACAGCAAGAGAGAGTTTGCTGACCTCAAGATGGCACTAGACCACCTGCTTGACCCCCACATTGAACTCTCTGAACACTACAAATACTGTGTTCTTATAGAGCATCTGATCCTGGATGAGGCTGAGCTAATAGCCCAAGCCTGGAGACACTATGCACAGCCCTACACTGCTGCTATCCAGGCCCCACAAAGTCATTATGGGCAACCACATCAACTTGCCCAAAGTGAGATTGCAGCTATCCTGAACTCTCCTGACATCAAACCGGGAGACTCCAAGACCTTCCAGAGCTTCGCTCTTTGTCTCGACCTGCTCGACCCAAGATGGAGGTGCTGTCTACCGGTCATGCTGATCGGCTTCTGAGTAAACTCCCAAAACACTTAAGAGATGGTTTTTGGAGCACCTACAGGCTCAAGGTCGGCTGAACACTAACAGTTTAAACCCATACAACCTACAAGACCTCGCTGATTGGCGTAAGGTAAAGGCTTAAGCTGAAAGGCTATCCGCAAAGATGGCGCAGCATCATCGGATTGAAGGAGCACAGCTGTCCAAGACAGATATGTCAGCTGGTTATTTCAAGCCTTGCCACCAGCCGATCTCAGTCTATATTGGTTCTGTGCCTCAAAGCTTTCCCTGCAAGTTAAAAGCTTAATTACCATACTAGAACTAGTAGCAGTGCAAACTCGAGAGAGTGAAAACAAGCGGAACAAAAAGAGCGACACAGCTGCACAGAAACTGCACATTGTAGACATCTATGATCACAATAAACATCGCCACGGAAGAAGACAGTTTTAACTTTTTTAAACCTCTGAGAGCTCTTCAAATACAGAGTGGTTTACTGGTGCAATTTTTTCAAAGTTTACGGTAATGTTATTGATAACATTTTAGTTTGCACTTATCACTCTTGTCTGTGTTTCTTGCTAACTGAGCTGCGGTTGCACTTCAGAGTCTGTGTTCCACTATGAGCACAGCAAAAGTGAGTGAAATACTACTATTACAAACCTTGGATAAACGCCAATTGTCAATTGTTTAGAAACTGCCAATCGTAAAAGATAAAACATGCAAAAAATGTTTTTATGCACAATAAATAGGACCCATCTTTGTAAATCAAACAGCAGAATAACAGACCACTTTGCTGGATGATGAATAAATAAATGATAAATAAGGTATGTTTTGTGTTGAGAAAAATGTGTGGCCAATTTTGTTATTTAGTTCTATTTAGGTCTATTAATGCACTTTAATTCAATTTATCCTCAGATTGTTATTATTTATTTATTTCAGTAAGACAGCTTTCAGATTCCTGTGCTGGCACTTACGTTTTTTACTTTGTGAATTTTATGTAAATGTGAGGACATTAGTGTGGCATTACCCTGGACTGTAATGAATCTGTCACAGTGTAAAGTTTGTTTGCTGACCTGACAATGCAGGGCCAGGGCAGCCGATATGTGCTTTGTTGACACTTAAAACACCCAATGAATATACAGTATGTGCTGAAAAGATGATGTTATAAAATGTCTTTCCATTGGTCATTTGGATACCAAAAGCTACAGGTTGTTAGGGCAGCTTATGGACCATGCATGTATTGAAAAATGTCCAGATCGCTAAAAGTGGAGATACACGTTTTTCATCGGAAAGCGACGATATGCAATCTTGGATGATGGAGCTGAACATACCATTATTGTACGGTTTTATTAAACTATCTACGCTAATTTGATAACTCCCACCGTAAAGGTTGTTTGAACAGATGAAAACAGTGTCACACTCAAGCTTGGACACTTGGTTATTTTGTCTTCAAGGTATTTATTTGTAGCATAAGCCTTACACATGCTCGGCTAACTAGTACCTAATGATAACCCTGCTGTTCGCCAAGTAATCAACTGAAACAACACAAAAATAAGAACAAAAGCACCAATATTAATAACACAGACATGTTACCTATTGAATAATCCGCAGACATTAACATATAATATGTAACATAAATTGTTATCATGTTGTACATCTCGTAACTCACCAGCTTAGCTTTACCAGTCAAACAATAACATGCATATGAAAGAAGATTTGGCCAGTTAAAAGACAACATTCGCTCTAAATAACCTTCAGGGGGATTACTACCACAAGAGGTCGCTATGAAATTACAGCAAATTGAGGAATAACACAACACACCTCCCACTTGGGGTACTTGTCCTAGACCTAGTCGACCACAATAACTATTATTACCACAACAATGTAATACACAAAATATGACAACTTCTCAAGCAACAAAACAAAGAAACAGCGTAATTATAACTGTTCAGTGAAACACATCCAGTTTCACATTCAAATGTCCACAGTGCTAGCGCCTGTTAGGTTTTCATGGGAGCAAAGAAGTCCCCTTCTGCTCCTCTACTGGCAGTAACGCCACCAGCCTCCTGACATCCCTGTGTAGGATCTGGAAGGACACGGCTCCTTATCCTTCCTTGCTTGAGACAGGCCAATGGGGAGGCTGTGACAAACCTTCACATCGAGGTCTTGGACAACACCCTTATCATCTGGACACGATTCCTCCACATGACCCAGCCTGAATGGACCTCGGGGGGGTGTTTTGATCTGCAACCCATACCAGGTCTCTAATGGTGACATTCCTGGCTGAGGCATGCCATTTTTTCCCAAATGAACAGGTGAGGTCCTGCCAATTGGTTCCATCATCTCTGTAGCAATCAAGACAACCCTGTGTGTGAAACTCACACATTCCTCGCAGGGAAGTTTCCTTATCTGGTCCTAGGACACAGGATATAAATCTTTCCATACTTGTTTGCACTTTCAGGTTACCTAACTGACCCAGCCGGAGGTTGACCAAACCTCTGACTCTTCACGATTGGTCAATTCAGAGAACAGAGACAGAGTTTTTATTACCTTTCAAACTGACTCCATCGCTGACCATCTGGATAATCATTCATCCCTTAATCCAGGTCTCCCACTTGAGATTTACCGTTTTAAAATATGTGAACATATGGACCCCAAGGAAAGGTCTGAGGAGCAGGACACTGACCTCCAGACCTTGGTTGTAAAACCCTGCTCAACCATGTACTGATAAAGACTGCATTCCTTTGGTGAAAGAATACAATTGACTGATCATGACATCTTGTGCATTTAGCAATGTGCTAATCTGTCTAATCATGAAATTTGTGTTAAAATGAGATGTTTCCCATTTTATTATGTGCTCCAGAAGCCAAGTTATCACTCTGACAGAATAAATCCTTTAATTCTTTAGTTTCTTTAGACCAACAGCTTTTCAGACAGTTTAGTGAACCTTTAAGAGTTAAATTTATTGACTTTGAATCATAACTTTACTCTAAGTAACAGAAATAGTTTAGAAATGTTTGGTTTGTATTTTAATTGTCTATTTAGTATTTTTAACAATTAGGAGGTTATAATGTTAATGAATAATCTGAATGTGAGTATTATGAAGTTCTTCACATGTGTTTACTCTTTTGTTCACAGTTTCTATGTGTTAGCATCTGTTTCATTTCAGAGTAGGTTAGCATGCTCAATGTGATACTTAAAACATAATGAGAATGTTTGATGTGATTCTACATCATTCATATGTTTAGTATAAAATAATTTATCATGAAACCAAGCATTCAATGATATTAATCATAGTGAGTGAGTATCAGATCTGACTCTTTTACCAGCCAAAAGTATAAGTTAGGTCAAATAATCAGAGATCCAAGGTCTCCTCTGCAGCTGGAGACCCCACATCCCTCCTCTTTCTCCTCACACACATGCCAGAGACACTCCCAGTGTGAAGGAGATAAAAACCAGTAAAGTTAGTGGTGCTGGCTCTCTTCTTCCTCCCGCTTGTTTTCCCGGGTCTCCTCTTAGCCCTCTTCTTTGTTTTCTCTTTTTTTTTTACTAAGCCTTACTTTTTGTTAGTCTTCTAAGTTTTACGCCACATGTTCATTCATGTTGATTTTGCTTTAACAACGTCTTTGGTTAAGTTTTGAAACTTCGACTTTTTGTGCACATAGCAATTCAAGATTAAGCCTTTAATTGATTTTTCTTTAATATCGCAAAGCCATTTTTGAAATAGTTTCGACTGGCCATCGAGCCTCTCTTTCTGAGTCATCTGCGAGATTTCAAAGTCACCTCAAATATTAATCTTAAGACATTCATTATATATTAAAATTGCTACATCTCCATTCTCTCCTTTGGGCTTCTTCCTTATCTATACCAGCCAGGAAGGCTGGTACTCATGACTGCACGAGTTGGGGAGAAAAGCATGGACTTGGTGTTTTGGCCATTTAAGACTAACTTGTGCTTGCTGAGTTCATGCTGCAAGGAGACAAAATCTGAGGCCAAGTTGGAAACTGCCACCTCAAGTGAAGGATAACAAGAACAGATAGATAGATAGATAGATAACTGTATCGTCAGCAAACATATGATTCATGCTGTAAACAGGCATATTAAAAATGTTATTTACATACAGCAGAAAATGTAGTGGACCTAAGATGGGGCCTTGGGGGACTCCTTTCTCAAGAATGACTGAGTCAGATAAGATATCACCAAACTTGACACACTGTGTGCGACCAACTAAGTAATTTCTAAACCAGCTATTCACATTCGGACAGAACCCGGTGTTGAGGAGAACCTGCAGTAATAATTGGTGGTCCACCGCAATGATTGGAGCAGAGAGTCTTAAAAAGAAGGGATCAAGGCCATCTGGGCCAGAGGACTTGTTCGCGTCCAAGATAGACAGGGCGTGTAGGACATCCGAAACTAGAATAGGAGAGAAGCCAAATTCAGCAAGTGGGTCGGAGTTGTCATGGATGCCTTTGTTGCCTTGCTGGGGGGCATTGCTGTTAAGTTCATTGAAGAGATGACCTACCCTTTCAAAATGAAGGTTAAAAGCAATTGCCATTTCTGTCGGAAATGAGTAGGTCGCCAACCCGAATCTTAGGCGGGGGGCCAGTAACTCCCTTGTTTT